CCCCCAGGGGCCCTTAGGTCGACCTCCTGCTCTTTCATCTACAATATATCGCCTAGAGGAGGCCAGTCGACAACACTGGCCAAACCATTCAGACAAGAGACTGAACTGCCGCGTCTGTTCTGCACGTGGGAAAAGGAGAAGAATACAGACAAAGTGCGAGAAATGTGACGTGGGCCTGTGCATTCTCGGGTGCTTCAAAGAATATCATACAAAGCCGAGGTTTAGTTAGATGATGCAGGGGGTGGAGCCTATATATACATCAAGCAGATAACAACAAAAAGGTATGTACATCGAATTTTACTATATATTTGTACATATTTATCTGCAGAATCTGCAATAAAATTACTGACTCGTGGATGAGAATCGGCGTAACTCATACGTATACTCTTTTTGTTGTTGTTCATTTAGGTATCATTTTAATTACTTTATTAGGATTTTACTCAAGTCGGTCTGGTAATTACTACATTTAAAAATAAATATTTAGGACTGTGCATGCGCTTCTACTAGCGGCGTGTGCGCGCGCTTCCCCTAGCGGAGTTTAAATGCCCGAGTGGCCAAAACTGGGTACTTTGGCCACGACGACCTTACTCACCACTGGCACAAACTGGGCACTTCGGCACTTAAAGGTTAGAAAGAAAGGACCCAATAAGTGTGGTCAAACTGTTCGAGAATTCCAATTTTCATAACTTATACAGCAATCCTGAGTGCCACGTGGTATGAAAGGCTTTTTCGATGTCCAAGAACACCGCAGCCGTAGACATTTTGTTGTTGAAATTAAGGGTCACGTGGTCCGCCAGCCTCATACATTGCAATGTCGTGCTGTGACGTGCACGAAAACCAAACTTACTTGCGTTGAGCATGCCTATTTCTTTAATATGTTTTTGGAGGAAATTTAAAATTGCTTTTTCGAATAATTTTCCTGTCGTGGACAGGAGGCTGATCGGACATAAATTTTGAGGGAATTTCGGGTCTTTTCAGGGACTGGGTTAATAATTAAATATCGTCAAAAATTGGATAGATTTCCACAAATTTAAGTGAAATCTATGAAAATTTGTTGAAATTCTTTAAATTGACTAGAAATCTGGAATAATTCTAGGTCAAAATTTCATAAATTACTTGAAGTCTTTCAAAACATGGATTATATTCGTTAAATTTAACTTAACATCAACCAAAATTGACTTAAATGTCACTAATATAATGTAGCAATCGTTAATATTTTGAACAGAAATCCACTTAATAAGATGAAATCTTTCACATATTGATTGTAATTCCTTATATTATCGTGAAATCGTCAAAGAATTTTCGGAAAAAATAAAATTTCATAAAATAGGTTAAGTTCGTTCAAAATTTGTTTAAATTATTTTAATTAACTTAGAATGACTGAAAATTTTAACAAAAAATCATTAAATAATATAGTAATTATCAGAAATTTAAAGGAATTCCTTATTTAGAGTGAAACATTTTATAAGCTGGTTGAAATTCTTTATTTTAACTTGAACAGTCAAAGAATTTTAGGTTAAAATTATATAGATTTCGTTGAAATCTTTCAAAATTCAATTAAAACTCACTTAATTACATTCGAATCGTTGAACATTTCTTTAAATTTCCTGAATTATTAAGTTAATGGTCAAAAAATTTGCCAAATTCCGAAAATTAGTGTGATTTTTTTCACAAAATAATTGATAATATTTATATTGACTTGAAATCGAGAAAAAAATATTGGTAAAAATTACATAAATTAGGTTGAAGGAGGTCAAAATTAGTTCAGAATTCCTTAAATTATAATGAAATCCATCAAAATTTGATTAAAATTAGTTAATAATTAAATTACGTCAAAGAATTGAATAGAATTCCATAAATTAATGTGGAATCTTTGGAAATTTGATGAAATTCTTTGTATTAACTTGAAGTCTTAAATAATTTTTGGTCAAAATTAAATAAATTGGGTTGAAATCGTTCAAAACCTCGTTTATATTGGTTAAATTTAACTTAACATCTATCAATTTGACTTAAATTTCCCTAATATAAAGTAGAAATCCTCAATAATTTGGACAGTATTTTATTTAATAAGAAGAAATATTTCATATATTGTGTGTTAATATATATTAACGTGAAATCGCCAAAGAATATTTCGGAAAAAAAATTCTTAAAATAGGTTGATTTCGTTCAAAATTTGTTTAAATTCTTTAAATT